ATCTGCCTCGCCAGAGAAGAGCGCAATGATGGTGCCAACTTGGGCCAGTGAAGCAACATTCTCCACAACTAGATTGAAGAACAAAACAACAGCAACTTGTCTGCTCCCCTTTCCCCAATTCCCCAGCGCTGTTCCCATCCCCCCAATTCCCCAATAAAAATCTTTAAAAAAAACCATTTTATTCAGGACCTAATGCAATAAGAGAAAAGAGACCTCAGAATAGAACTGGACCCAATTCTGAATACACCAAAGACAAGTGGGGATTTATGGCCAAAAAGTAAGGGGGTGTATAGGCGATGATCGGGGAGCCGGTGGATGGAAAATTACTAAGAGGAGAGAAACATCAGTGGTTGGGGGGATTCTGGTTAAACAGACCCAACAGGATTCTTACTGAAGGCTGGCCAGGGTGATCAGACACCACCTGGGGGACAGTGGGGTGAGGACTTTGGTCAGATATGAAAGGTGATCAGACATCCAGGGTGGGGATTCTGGCTAAACTGACTTGACAGGATTTTTGCTAAAACTGGGTGACACAAAGACAGATGCGGAAGCCCGGAAGTTGAGATGAGGGTCAGACTAAAAGTTTGGTCAAGAAGAGAATCTGTCACCATGACGCCCCCATTCCCCCTCTATCTGCAGTCTACTCCCCACTCCCACTTGGTTATTTCTGCCTCTTTGCAGGGGACTGGACTTGACTTTCTCTCTCCCTGTTTAGTGGACACTTCTGTCATCTCTGTCTGCACCTCCTTTCTGCCCTCTGGCAGTCCTGGCTTTACCCTGCTCTGCCCAGCCCCAGCATAACCACTCTCTGCCAGCCTGCCCTGCCCTGCTGGGCAGGATGCTAGGATGGACTTGGGGCCTGGGCAGGCTGGGGCTCCCTCTGGAAGGGTGATGGGCAGAGTCCTTCACAAGTGTCAAGGTTCACGGAACCAGGCTGTGTTCCCAAGTGATCCGATTGCTCCCAAACAGCAATTCCCATGTGCACAGCTTAACTCCATCATCTGGTGCTATGAGTTGAATGTTTGTGTCCCCCTCAAAGTCATATGTTGAAATCCTAACCCCCACTGTCATGATATTAGGAGGTGGGGCCTTCGGAGGTGATTAGATCATGAGGGTGGAGTCCTCAAGAATGGGATTAGTGCCCTAATAAAAGAGACCCCACAGAGCTCCCTACTCCTTTCCACTGTAGAAGGATACAGTGAGAAGGTGTCAGCTGTGAACTAGGAAGCAGTCTTCACCAGACACTGAATCTGCCTGCGCTTTGAACTTGGACTTCCCAGCCTTAGAACTGTAAGAAATAAATGTCTGTTGTTTAAGCCCCCCAGTCTATGGTATCTTTGTTATAGCAGCCCAAATGGACTGGTACTTTGTCATCTTGAAGCCTTGTCACTTTTCACCTGGGGTACCTCAACAGCCTTTGGACAGCTCTCTGACACCCACCTGGACCCCTGTCATCTTGGTAAGCCATGACCCGCCCCTACCTGATGCACTTGGTGGCTGCTTGCTGCCATGGGACCCCCAGCGAGGTGTGAGGCTCCGGCCATGGGATGGCCCCAGCCCCTCAGACTTGCCACAAGCTCCCCACCTCCAGGCTCTTGCTCAGGCCAGGTCTCCCCTGCCCCATTGCATTCCAGTCTCTAGCTGCCTTTCAGACTTGGCTGAAATGCCACCTGTTCCATGAAGGCATAGGGACCTCCTCACCTCTGCTTCCCTTAGCTCCTGGCCCCGGGCTCGGTCTGTACCCCACAGTCGGGACTTTCCTTCCTCTGGGCACGGAGGCCCTGCGTGCCTCACTGCTGTTCCTTTCTGACCCGCCCAGACGGCACAGTGCAGGAGAGGCTAGCCTGTGGCTGGGAGGGGCTGCTGCTCCCCCTGCCCAGCCTTTCTTCGCCAGCCGCTTCGCAGCAACCTTGAGGGAAAGAGCCTCTGACAAACAGGTCAGTTGCTGGTTGGGCTGAACGACAGTGTTTTTCTTGTTCCTGCTGCTTCCTGCTGTTTTGGGGTGCACAGGTCTGGGCATACACTACCAACCATCTCTCTCCCCTCTCCTTCCAGCTCATAGCAGCTGGGTGGAGGGTGGACCAGCCTCTGGTAAAGGCCCACTCGCCCTCCCTCTCTCTCTGGGCCGCCTCATGTTGGCAGGGGCCTCAAGTGGGACCGGGTCCCTACCTTTAATGTTCCTGTATTTGTGGCCCATTGGCTGCCCCTCAAAGAAGCAGGCAATTGGCAGGACTTCGGCACATCTAGATTCCAGCTCATCATGTCAAAAAAATGGCACAAGGCCCCTCTCAATTCCCATTATTCATAACCTAGAATACCAACCCCTTGTTCACATTTATAATTGTCCTCAAAGGGCTCTCTGTCACTGCCAGGCAGGATTGTCATTTTGAGTCCTGAGAAACCCCACAGTCAATTCAGCTGGCCCTAAGTGACGCCAGTCGGGGTCCAGTGGAGAGCAGACCTGTAAGGAACAGGCTCAGGTGGGGGCACAAGAGTGGTGACTTTTATTTTTTTGACTCTAAAACAAACACAGATCCTAAGGCTTAAATAAACACAGAGCCTAAGGCTTCTATCAAGTGGCTTAGATTTCATTCTCACAGAATAATGGGCCGTCTACCTGAGCACACTTTGCTCCTGCAGTCGCAGGTGTGGGCCAGGGGAGGGATACGCCTGACCTGGGACACACTGAACATGGTGGGCTGTGTGGCCTTTGTGTGGCTGCATCACTCCGTGTCCTGGCTGGGAGAGCTTTGGGGACTCTGTCTGTCACAGCGCAGGAGGAAGGAGAGGCTCATGGGGAGGAGAACTTCAGAGAAGGAGGAAACAGAGGGGCTAAGGGCAGCAGCCTCTCTGCTCAGCCTCTGGAAGAGATTCAGGCAGGGACCAGACCTCATGGAGGGCAGGGCCTGTTGAGCGAGGAGAGCCTGGTGCACTCCATGCCCTAGAAAATCTGGTCTTCGGTTAGGTGTTAGGTGGAGACAGGCCAAGAAGAGATGCTGGGGTGATGCAGAGTCCCTGCTCGACAAGATGGAGGGTTCTAAGGCAGGAATGGAGCTGCTGGGTTTTTGTTTTATCTGCCCCCTCCCCGTTTGTTCTTTACCTGACTCTGGGCCCTGACTGCAACTGCATCCCCTGGGCTCCCTGGCCCTCTACATTATGAGTGGATTTGCCTAGTGGGCAGCATGGGTGGAATGGGATCAGGGAGGGCCGGGTTGGGGTATTCTCACCCCTTTCCCACAATCACAGCTCCCGCCAGTAGCCCCATCTCCCTCCTCCAGCTCTCTGGGCCCAACATCCTTCCCTGTGCCAGCCCTTCAGGTCCAGGTGCCAGTCTCTGGGGCTCCAGTTCCCTCACCTGGCCTACACTGCTCTCGGTAGTCATTCTACAACCAGATCCTCTTGTTGCGACCACCTGGGGGTGAAGGGTGAGTAAGGTTCTAAGCTAGGGGTCCACAGGACCAGACAGATGCTGCCACCTGGAAGCGGGCCTGGAGAGAGGTGGGGGGATGGTGGGCATTGAGAACGGCAGAGCCCAATCTCATCCGCAGGGGCTGGTCTCTTCACAGGCCCCCCGACTGATGCCCTGCAAACCGTGGGCTCTGCATTGGCAGAACTTAGGATTTTAAAAATCTTTTTACAAGACACCTTCAATTTTTAAGTGTTGGTGATTCGTTTGAAAACATTTTTAAAACACCAGGAGCCACACACAATCATTGTGAGGAATGAGATTCAGCTGGAAGGCAGGCAGCTAGCTGGTGCTGTGGGTTCCAGAAGGCAAGGCTCCGGAGGCTGCACCCCTTTGTGGGACAGAGGTTTCAGCCCTTCGTGGGCCTGAGCTCACCAGCTGGGGCTGGGGTTCTGGAGGGCAGAAGTTGTTATTTTAGGCAGGTGTGAACCTGCCCTTTCTTGAGGGTTCAAGGCTGGGGACACTACAGAAAATATAAGAACAATGGTACCAGTGGGAAGAAACAGGGCCACACCACTCCTGACTGGGGCTGCAGCCAGGCTGAAAGGGGCCCCATTTTCTGAGGGTGCAAGAGCTCACCATCAGACCCCAGATGCATAACCTAGGGATGGATGCAGACAGGTTTGCAGGGCTGCCGGTGGCCCGCGTCCACCGACCTCACCTTGTCACAGCAGTCCCTTATCGCTTCTGCCTCCCTCTGCTTGGAGGACCTTTTCCTTCCCAGAGGCGGGCCCTCCCCATGGTCCTGATCAAGGGTCCCTTCCCAGAGGCTCTAATTGCATTTATTCAGCGGCCCCTGATCCAAGTAATTATCCTCATCCATTTTGGGTAACCTACCCTCACCCCCGCTCCCACCCTCAGTTTACCTATCATTGGCCCTACATTCACTAGTGACCCCAGAAGCCGGGTGGGTAAGCTGTGGGGGACCTGGTCCACCCGCTAGGGTCCTGAGCATCCGCAAGGGACCTCCCCCACCGACGTCCAACGTCCAGATCCGGCGGCACGCGGGCCAGAGGGATGGCCGCCACGAGGCTCCGTAGGGGTCATCACCTCCCTCCACTGTCCTGAGGCCCGGGGAGGTTCCCCAGGCGGGGGTGGGCCTAGCGCAGGTCTCGCACTCAGCGCAGTCCCTGAATCATGGTCGAATGAGAAAGCTAGGTCGGCTTTGGGGAGGGGGTGCGCTCAGATCCGCTGAACCTCGCGGGGTTCCCCAGGGTCAGGGCAGGGCCTCCAGGGATGGGGGTCGGGGTTTCGGAGCAGGGCGGATGCGCCCGAGTCTCCGGGGGTTGGCTGGGGTCTCGAGGTGGGGGGCCGGAGTCTTCAGGGGTGAGACCGGGATCGCTGGGCAAGGGGCGCCAGGGGGCCTAGGGGTGGGGTTGCGGGTGCGCCCGAGCGCCGGGTCCGGGCGGCGGGCGCACTCGCACGCGGGGCGCTTCTTCGGGCTCCACGCACGCCCCCTCCAGCAGCCGCGCTCGACCCCGCGTGACCGGAAGTGCCCCCCCGTGGGCTCGGACGGGGCGGGGCCGGCCGCGGCACTTCCGGTGCCCACGCGCCGCCGCCGCGCAGCTACGGGGCCGTCACTTTGTGTAGCGCGGGGCGCGCAGGCCCTGCCTGGCCCCGGCGTCCTGCAGCGGCTTGGGCAGCCGCGTGTGGTGAGTCGGTGGCGGGGCCCGCGGAAAGCCGCGCTGGCGGCAGGTGCGGCGTGGGCGCGGGCGTGGGGCCGGGGCCGAGCCGCCCCTCGAGGCCGGCGTGGGAGGCCATGGGGAGGCAGCAGCGCGCGGCGGGGCAGACAGGGCCTGGGCCTGCGTCCGGCGGGGTCTGAGCGGCTCGCTGGCCGGGCCTTCGGTGGCCGCGCCCACGCCTGACGCGGCCCGTGTCTCCCCGCCCGGGCCTGCGCGGTGGGGCTGGCTCCGACCCCCAGGGCCGGTCCAGGCGGGCAGCACAAAGTAGGCGGGCTAGGAGAAGACACGCGCGGCTCCTCGGGAGGTGCCCACCGCCGTCTGGGCCTGAGGGGGGGTTGGGTCATGGCCACCCCCGGGGACACACCCATCCTAGAGGGGTTGTCACTGCCAGCGCCTCTGCGGGAGGTGGTGATCCAATGAGCCCCCTGGAGGAATGGAGGTGACTTGACGCCCCCCCTCCTTTCCTGCAAGCTTGCTTAGTGACCTTGGGGGCCTTGCCTGGGTCTTCTCTCTTTTGCAAATGGAGGCCCCCTTGGGCTGTTATGTTGTCTTCTGGTGCCTTTAGGCGAGTAGGAGAACCCATCATTGGGATTGGATGGGGTCTGAGCTGCTCCATGTGGTCGCAGAGGTCGGTGAGGGGCTGGCCTTCGGTGGAGGAGCCGGTGGGGGGTGTGGGGGGCAGGAGGATCAGGCCCCTAGCTGTGCCTGTGTGGTGAGACCATGGACGGCACTTACTTTGCTTCAGCAAGTGTTGGCAGGTCTGGGGAGCTGGCCAGAGTGGTGAGGGGGCTGGGATGGCCCATGCATACACCTGCACGAGGAGCAAACCTAGGCGAGTAGGGGAGCCCAAATCCGTGGACCGACTGTGAGGACCATGGAAGTCAGGGAAGGAAGGCTTCCTGGAGGAGGAAAACCTGGAAGACCTTGAATAACAGGGCTGTGGTCAGTAAGGCCACCCAGAGGGAAGGAATCCATGTGCACCCACACATGTCCCCTACATCTCCACTTTTGTGGAGAATTTCTAACAGTTTTCAAACTTTTTCTGTCCCTGGTGTCCTCCCTTCTCCCTGTGGAGGGCATCCTGTCACCCTCAATTCTAACTGTCTGCAGCGCTGTGTCCTAGGGTGCAGGGCTCCAATGGAAATAGGGGTCTGGGATGACCCCTAGCTTGTGTTGACGAGGCTGCTTACCTGACCCTCTGTGGCTTCTGACCTGGAATCGGATGCCAGGAAGTGAGCCGCGTGAGTTTCTGGTGGACTGACAGGCTGGAAAGAGAAGAAAGGAGAGTGTGCAGGTTTGGGGGTGCCTGCCCAGCACACATCTGGCCTGGAGAGGCAGAAAGAACGTAGTGTTCAAATTCCTGAGATCCATTTTTCAGAACCATTCTGTTCTGTGTTCTGTGTCAGGGTATATGGGGTGTGTCACTGTGCAGGGCCTTGGTCACATCTGCAAGGTGACTGCCAACCTCCAGGCGGCTGGTCCTTTCCCTTCTCTGGTCACCAGCAGGTACACTTTTTGGGAGAAGGGACTTCAAGCCAAAGCTCTTTGAATGCAGACTCCCCAGTGCCTCTGGGGTGGGTTCCAGTTGGAAGTACTCTCAACAGTAATCAGTATGTCTTGGACTATGACAGTGGGGCCAAAATACCAAGTTTTAAAAATTTTGTGTTCATCACATTGACTACAGAAGTCAGAGTCATTTCTTCAATAAGTATTTGAGCACTTACTCTGTGCCTGGCGTGGGGGGATTCAGAGATGAGCAAAGGGAACCTCTGGCTTTCCGGAGTTGACTGTGTACCTTGAAGACAGGCAATGAGCAGACAGTTCCATAAGTGTATAAAAAATATGGGTGCTGCGAGGGCAGAGTGCAGGGCACTGCGTGTAACCGGGGCCCAGGGGACTACTGCCTCCAGAGGATGAGTGAGGAAGCGGAGAAGGGATGGCTCGTGCACAGGTCCTGAGGTGGGAGAAGCATGAGGCCACTTTATTCCAAAGCCATGGAATTTTCTTCTTTTGAGTGTGAGTTCCTGGATACGGCGGCCTGGCCTGTGGGAGTCCGCTCTGGGTGGTGGCCATGCAGCAGGCAGCTTTGCCTGGCTTGGCATGGTGTCTGGGTGCAGCCTGAATTTGCAGTCTGAGGCCTGGATCAGAAAAGCTCTCCTCTAAGCCTGAGGTGAGTGGCAGCTGGAAAACCTCTGCTGAGGATTCTCATTGCCCCGAGTGCTGGGCAGGGCTGCATTCTCCTGGAGGTGGTGAGAGTGACACACAGCATACGTGTTTCTACACCTCAGGCACCTTCACACACCCAGAGAGCTGTGGATACCCAGGAGGTCGGCTCTGGGAGAGGCTGCAGGCTGGGGTGGCGCTCCTAGGCGTAGTTCTTCACCTATGATCTTGGGTTCAGTGATTGTGAATCTAGAATGGGGCTGGAGCCAGCCAGGGGGAGCATGGGACAGAGCTTCTGGGCACTAGTGCACTCCAGGCCCTGGACCTGTGCCTTGGTCTCTGGGAGGAGCTGCATGAATGCTCTGAGCTCCTTAGCTATTAAAATGTGGATTTGAAAGCAGCAGCTCCAAACAGTTCAGAAAGTGGGTGCACACTGCCTTATGAGTAGAAAAGTGATGAGTTACGGAGTAAGAGCGAACCCCTGAGCAGTTCTCCTGGGGGGCCCAGTGGTCTACACTGCCCTCATGACCCTGGGCATCCTTATGCCGATGTCCCTGTCCTGTTTTAAGGGTTCTGTGGCAGATACTCTGCATTGGTAGAGCCATACGAGCTGGGTGGGCCCAGTTGCCCCGCGTGGCCTGACATTTCAGGATCATCCCGGGATTCTGGGTTGCTGTGTTTGTAGTAGGCTTGGCTCACATTGGAAATGAACCTGTTCGACTCTAAGATACTGATGGAGCCGGTGCCGGGTGATGGACCTGTTCTTGGGTTTACACTCAAGAAAGAGCCATAGAAACTGACTCATCGAAACCGTGACTGTGTCCTGCCCTTGGGACTCCACTGGGGCCAGTGAAGGACATGCAGCTGGGAGGGAGGCGTGGTTCCAGGGCCCGTGGCCTCCCTTCCTGTGTGGCATGGCTGTTTCCCCTGAGCCCCTGGGTTGAGCTGACTGACATTGGTGTAAGAGTAGAACCCTGCAAGCCACTGGGCTTTGAGAATTCCACTCTGAAGATTCTCTGATCCCCAAACTTGGAAGAGACGTCCTAGGGCATTTCATATCACTCTTGTTGGTCTAGCGGTGAACCAAATCTCTGACTCTTTCTGCCGAGCTCTTTCCAAATGCCCTGGATGGAGTGAGGGGCCAGGGAGACACAGAGCATAATGCACACACAAGGCCTCCACTCTGCTGCCCCTTGCAGGAGGCAGCCTGACCTGCTGGCTGCCAGAGTAGGTGGTACCTGTCATTTCTGCCCTGCACCCCACCCTGTCTCACTTCTCATGTGTCCACAGCCTGTCCACAGCCTGCCCATGCATAGACCTCTCCTCTGACATCCCCTGCAGGCAGAGTTTGTGCATATTGAGGGCTGGGTGAGCCCCTTCTTCTACACGTCAGGTGGGCTGATCCTCACAGGTCACACTCACCTTTTTCAGCTTAACTCAGGCCACCTCGGGCCATGTTGCCTGGTCCTTGAGGATAAAGACCTGGATGAACCCCTGATTTACTCTTAGCAGTCCATCCCTGTGTGTAGTTGCTGGCAGGGAAGAGCTGAGACCACATAATGGAGGGTCGTGGAGAGGGGCTCTTTGGGCAGCTTGTATGGGGACAGAATGTCTTGTTCTGTCACATGAGACTGCAGAGAGCTCCAGTCCTGCCATCACTACACAGTGGGTGCAGTATGACCTGCGTCCCGCCCGGCTGGAGTGAGGCCCGTGCGGGAGCCTGTGAGTGTGCTGGGCTGGCTCATCGCCACCTCCTGTCTGTGTTCCAGGCCGAGCTGAGGCTTCCGTCTGGAGAAGATGGCAGCCCTTCACACGGCTCCAGACTCTCCGGCCGCCCAGCTGGAGAGGGCAGAGGACAGCTCGGAATGTGATCCTGACCAGGAGGAAGAGGCGGAAGAGATAGAGGAGGAGGAGGAGATGTTAGGGGAAGGCGAGGAAGACGAGCCGGATGCAGACGGGGTGCAGGCAGGGCAGGTGGAGGTGGAGTTGCAGGAGGAAGTGGAGGTGGTGCTGGCGGACGCACAGAGTCCAGAGTTGGGGACCCAGGAGCACCTTCACCGTGGTGGTGATGCCAAGTCCCCGGTTCTTCAGGAAAAGGGTAAGAAAAAGCTGGTGCTGGGGGAGGGGAAGGAGGTGGGGAGCTTGGTGGGTAGGCTGGGATCTGTTTGGCCAGTAGGGTGGAGCTGGGGCTGGGACATCAGGGCCCAGGCTTTGAAATGGGGAGCAGCCAGGAGCTCCTGACCCTGCTTGCTGGATGGGCAGAGGGGGCCAGGGTGGCGAGGCCCAGTGCTGAAGGCAGCTGGCTCCTAAGATCTTTCCCCTCAGCCCTGCAGGCCCCCCAGGTTCCAGCCATGCCTAGGGAGGAGGACCTGGAAGACGAGGACGCCGAGGAGGAGGAGGATGACGAGGAGGAAGATTTCCTGACAGCTGGGTCTCAGGTGTGCTGCCCTCTCATTTGGAGCTCAGTTAACCAGGCAGGGTTTTCCCAGGGTGCTTGTCACCTGCTCTCCTGGAGACCCCTGTTAGCAGGGCAGCAAAACGGCCGCGGGGGCTGGGGCTTCATTGTCCCCTGACCTCCATGTGAGCCTGGCTCTGTCCCGTATAGCTGGGTGTTTGCCCTCTCTGAGCTTGGGTCCCTAGTCTCAGTGGGAATGGGGTCCCTGCCTCTCAGGGCTGCAGCCAGGCCAGGAAGCCCCCAGTACTTGCGGGCATTTGTAGGCCCGCTGGTATGGGTGTTGGGCTGTGTCCCTGTTAGCTCCACATTGCAGGACTGCGGTCGTCAGTCCCTTGAGGTAATCTTCCGTTGCTCCCTTTGTAGGGGCCCCGCCTCTCACCTGGGACAGTTTAGAGCAGTGCGCAGGGCTCTTATGTTTTCCAGGGGCTGGTGACCTTTGAAGATGTGGCTGTGTACTTCTCCCTGGAGGAGTGGGAAAGGCTGGACCCAGACCAGAGGAACCTCTACAAGGAAGTCATGCAGGAGAACTACGGGATCCTGGTGTCCTTGGGTAAGCAAGGCCTTCTGTCCCCAAGAGGCATCCTGGTGCAACTGCTGTCGGAGAGGGTGGTCTTGGAGCCATCCCACCTCCCAGGGAAGCCCCAGGGATAGGGATGACCCTGCTTCCGGGTGGGGGTGTATCCTGGGGGCCCCGCTGTGACCCAGCAGTGCTGTGAGCCAGGTAGACACATTCTGGGGAGCTGCCAGCCCAGCTGTGGCCTCTATGCTGTACTCTCCCCAGAGACCTCGAGGGGTGAAGATGTGTGGAAGGGCTTGGCAGGAGAGCCACGGGTATCAGGGCAAAGCTCTAGAAAGAAGGGAATGTGGAATTTTCCAGAGTGGGGTAGGGAGGTGGGAGGACTGGTCCTAGGAAGGATGGAGAGGAGAGAGCTGTGAGGGCGGGGCCTGCGAGAGCAGCCTTGCAGCTGCCCTCGGTTTTTCTCCATGGCAGGATACCCAATCCCCAAGCCCGATCTGATCTTCCGGCTGGAACAAGGAGAGGAACCTTGGGTCCCAGATATCCCCCGTCCTGAGGAGGGAGACATTGTCACTGGCGTCTACACAGGTGAGCATGAGACAGAACCTTGTGGGGTTTCTGCCAACAGCTCCTCAGAGCGCTGCCAGATTTTGGCCTCTGCTGCAGCCTGGTACCAGCGGTCTGGGCTGCGGGGTGGGTTTTGTGCAGATAGGGTAGCTGCCATGGGTTGTAGGGTGGCCGCCATGGGCTATCGTCGGCCTTCATGGGCTTGCACCGCTTGGTCCCGGTCTGTGGAGGCCAGAGGGCTGGGCGGCCCTTAGAGAATCTATTGATAGAGATTCCTCTTAGGAGCCTTTAAAAATGATCCTCAGCCCTCACCGTGAATCCTCTGCGTGTTTTCTGTGAGGGCTTAGAGGGGCGTGGTCCAGGTGCTAGCAGACTGTGGGTCCTGGCGGTACTCTACCTGGTCCTCTGGCTTCTCCACCCATTTGGCCACCTCTGAATAAAGGGTGCCCCTCAGCCTTCCCTCCTTTCCCAGGAAGGCCCTGGGAACAGGCCCCTAGCCTGGGTGGGCAGCTGTGGGCCTTCCAGAGAGGAGATTTTGGAAAGACGTGTACAGTAAGTGCTCAGGGTGGCGGATGTCTCCAGAGACCTGGGACCTGGTTCTGGTTCTGTTCCTTCAACTCTCTGAGCCTCACTTTACTCGTCTGGAGAATAAAGAATTTGAACTAAACCTGTAGTTTCCAGCCTGAGGACGTCGGACTGTTGGATCTGTGGAGGTGCCTCATGGAGGTCTGTGAGTTATTCTCAATGTTTCAGAAAGTTCAGTGGAGGCCCTCGCACACTAGGTGTATTTGGCTTTGGGCTGGAATGATGCCAGCCTAGTGAGGGGCACTGGATGTCTCATGCCAAGCACGTGCCTGGATAGACTTGGAGCAGCTTATAGATGTGTTTTAAAATAAAAATACAGAAAACCACAGACAGTGCTATGCCTACGTGTGTGTACTCTTCAGAGTATTTTCCCACATACTGTTTATGCTCATAACAGCCCTGGGGAACAGCAGGGGAGGGAGTATTAGTCTCATCTTGCAGATGAGGAAACTGACTTATGTGATTTGCCCTTGGTGGGCTCAGCTCAGGCCTCACTTTCCATTTGTTGCAGGAGCCTGTCTGCTCGGGTATCCACATTATCTGGGATCCTCCTGGAATCTTTCCTGGGCTTCAGAGTCAGGACGGGGGGCTCTGGTCAGCGAGAAGTATCACTGTTGCCTCCAGGATGAGACGGGGATGTCAGTGATGTGTCCAGAGGGTCATAGAGGGACATGTGCCTTGTTTATGGGCACATTTCAGAAAAGCCACATGGAAGTGAAGGGGCCGCAGACTGGCATTGGCCAGTCTCTCGTCACGGGGTCTAGATACTCCCTATTCTCCATGCTTCTTGGAGGGTGTGAGCTAGAGCCACAACGTGCTCTGTGAACCTGGCCGGGAACTGGCCAGCTGGGCCAGTCACTGTGCCGGGCTCATGGGCCTGGAATGCTCCCCTACTCCTCATCCCTGGCCCTGGCCGTCCACAAAGCCTGAGGTGGGTGCAGGATCCCAGCATCTGTCACCTGTCTGCTGGGGGCACACGACAGCAAAGGCTGGGGTCACTGCAGAGCCAAGTGCATCTAAGGTCCTCCTTAACTAGCTGTGGCTTGTCTGCTAAATGGCCTCCCTCCCCTCCCCCACGTCCACTCCTGTGCAGCTGAGCCAGTTGGGAAGTGTTGGCTCTGGGCCGGACAGACACTAACTGTTCTGAGCCTGACAGAGTTTCTGTGTTTCTAAATTGTAGCCTCGCAGAACATAAGCATATTCCTCTCTTGTGCTTCCTGACAAATTGGGCTACATATAAGGTCTGGATTCTGGCTTGATTCTCCCATGTAGGTGCCCGGCCACCTCCCCAGTGGTGACTGGAAGCTTGTCATACTGTCCTTCCAGCTCCCTGGTCCTTACTCTCCTGCCTCTTCTGACCCCACCCCTTTCCTGCTGCCTTTCTCCTCACCTGGCTTAGAGGGCAGGGTCCCGCCCTCCCTTGCCAATGCCCCCTGTAGTCACCAGGCTGAACCCAGTTCCTTCCCATTCCACATCTACACTGAGCAGGGATCCGACTGGAGGAAAGCGTGCCCTCAGTCCCTCTTACCAGGGGTGCATATCAGGGGTGCAGGTATGCTAGGTGTGTGGCCACAGGGCCCTTTCATTAGTGCCCAGGTATGGCACCTCCTGGAAGTGTCTTGGGGCTCTTTTGACTGGGCCCCTGGTTGCCCCCTGAGATTGTCATACAGCCTCAGAGCACTGGGCCCGGCCTAACTAGTCATCATCCAGGGTCAGAGTCCTTCGGAGCAAGTGTCTCAGGGTGATGAAATGCCAGCTCTAACTCCCCAGAGCCCACTTCTCTGCTCTCCCCTGTGGGTTCTAGAAGCAGCAGCCGTGTGTGTCTGTCTGGTCCAGTGGTAAGAACCCCCACCCCTTATCAGAGCACCTTCTCTACCCTGGCTCAGGTCTCGAGTGGACCTGATGAGTCTTCAGTTGGCTCCAGAACAGGTTTGGATCTAAGCGTGAGCAAACTCCTTTCGAACTCTGTCTCCATTGCAGCCTGGAGTAACTGTTAACTGGGTGTCCCCACTGCAGGGGCCAGATCACCTGACCCTGGGTCACTTTGGTGGTAGATGACTAGAGAACAGAGCATGGCTTCGGGCAGACTGGTCCCCCCCCCCCGCCCCGGGGCCCCTTCCAGTGGCCCTGCTACTTCTTGATGTCTTAGAGTGCAGCCAGCTCCCAACTGCCCAGGGGCCTGGGTGTCCCCTCGCTCAGTGTCAGCAGTGGTCTCTACCGCCCTGCCACACATTTAGTGTTTCTCATTCTTGGACAAGTAGCCATGCCAGCTCCAGAGCTAGTGATGAGGTCCACGGGGTTCCCTCCCAGGCTTGGCCCCCTCTGCAGAGCCCACCATTGCTCACAGGCTGGGCAAGGGCTCACCTCCCCAATCCAGGGGGCTTCCTGCTGCCCTCAGAATCCAAGGAAGAGGTGTTATGGGTGAGCTGCTGGGAGCTAGCTCACCCCTCCCAGCTCTGAGGAGCTGAGCTTGCCTGCTGGCGGGTTCTCATTTGGCCTGGGTCTCCACTTCTTGTCTAGGAGGTGCTCACTGACCCTTGGCTAGGTCCCAGGGTGCACACTCCCCCCACTAAGACATTGTACTTGTTCCTCAGCTTGAATCCCCCTGCCTTAGGGAGTCTCTGATTAAAACTACTCAAAGGTAAAATCCTTTTTGAGACTCTCTGAAAGAATTCCCAACTGACCTGACCAGCAGCCCAAACTCCTGTCCTCCATTGCCCCCTCCCCGCCTCTTGGGGACGGTCCAGCCTTCACAGTGACAAGGAGCTGGGCCTTTTCTGGGCCATTTGTGGGCATAACCACTTCATGCCACATTTGTGACCATGGGTGGCAGTTGGAGGTAAACTCAGCTTAATAACAGGAAACTTATTTAAAGCTTATTTTTACTATAATAGCATATTACTATTATAGAAAACTTAGAAAATGTTGCATAGTGTGAAAAAATAAAACAACCCATTTTTGCATCCCTTTATATGATACATGTTTTTTTCATAGCTGAAGTCATGCCTTTGCAGCTCTGTGTCTGGCTTTATTTCACTCAGCACTAGACTGTGTTTCCCCATGTGACTATATCACCATATATGTCAAATGCATACAGAACACAGGACAAGGGCTGACCTGGGGCGGGAGGCTTGCCCACCATTCCCTCTGGGGCAGGACTCAGTGATGCAGGCTCACCCACTAGGCTGACACTGGTCTCAGCCTTGATTGTGGACATGGGTGTGGGGTGGGTGAGGGGATTCCTATGCCCGTTGTAGGAACTTGAACCTTCCAGATGCTAGGATTCTAAGGGCGGGCTACAGCATGGTGGGTGACCACCATGGGCACACAGCACAAAGGGTACATGAGGAAGCATACAGGTACTTTGGAACACGTGGGGCCCCATGGGCCAGGCATTGTTCCCTGTATGACATAGTGCTTACTCCATAAATATTAGTTGTCTCCTGGGTGTATCATGATGGCTGGCATACCAGCACTCCCATTTTATAAACTAGGAAACCCTACAGACCTGACCCCAAATCCACGCTCTGCTCCGCTCTGCTCTGCTCTCTGAAGGGAGAGGTTGGGTGTCGCTTGGAGGAAGAGAAACAAAACAGCAGGAACTTGAGGGTCCTTGTCCTTTTGTGATGGGAAGTGGCTTGCAGCTCACTGGCAGTCTGAGCCAACTTGGGACAATTTCCCAAATACACAGCTCAGGGAAAGCCAGGATGGGGGACAGCTTAGCAGGGAAGCCTGGGCTGCTCTTACACGGTTGCTGGAGCTTCTTGGGGTGAATGCAGAGACCTCCTGGTCTCCTTTCCTGGTTTTGCTCTGGGGTTGTGAGGGACACCCCTGGCTGCTGGCCAACCTGAAGCTGGTGGAGAAGAACCCAGAGAGGGAGGGATGCGGAGCAAAGTTTGGGTGCTGATAGGTCCAGGCACTCAGCAACCAGGTCCCCGGAAGCCGCGATTTCCTGGGGCAGGAGCCTGCAAGTGGCTTCTGGCACAGCCTTCTCTCATTTGTCTTCTGGCCTTCCCCTATCGCCTTCAGGAGCCTGGTTCTGGACCGAAGACATAGAGGACCAGGAGGAGGAAGACGACGAGGACTTCCTGGCAGAGGTGGCCGAGGAAGAAAACGAGCCTCCCGGGCTGTGGTCAGCAGCCTACGGCGTGGGGGATGTGCCTGGGACATGGGGCCCTGATGACTCGGATTCTGCACAGACTCCGGAGGGTTGGGGGCCTGACCCGGCCGGCCTTGAGGCCCTGGCTGAGGGGTCAGAGATGAAGCCTTTCCTGCCGGTCCGGGAGCCAGGCGCGAACCTGCTTGCGCCCTGGGCGTTTCCAGCTGAGGTGGCTGCCCCTGCCGGGAGGCCCGAAACCACATGTGATGTGTGCGGCAAAGTGTTTCCGCACCGGTCCCGGCTGGCCAAGCACCAGCGCTACCACGCGGCCGTCAAGCCCTTTGGCTGTGACGAGTGCGGCAAGGGCTTCGTGTACCGCTCGCATCTAGCCATCCACCAGCGCACGCACACTGGCGAGAAGCCCTTCCCTTGCCCAGACTGTGGCAAGCGCTTCGTCTACAAGTCACACCTGGTCACGCACCGGCGCATCCACACTGGCGAGAGGCCCTACCGCTGCGCCTTCTGCGGCGCGGGCTTCGGCCGCCGCTCCTACCTGGTCACGCATCAGCGCACGCACACCGGTGAGCGGCCCTACCCGTGCCCACACTGCGGCCGCAGTTTCAGCCAGAGTTCGGCACTCGCGCGACACCAGGCAGTGCACACAGCCGACAGGCCGCACTGCTGCCCAGACTGCGGCCAGGCCTTCCGCCTCCGTGCTGACTTCCAGCGCCACCGGCGAGGTGGCGGCTGCGCGGAGCCTGGCAGCGACGGCCCTCTGCGGGAGCCCTGCGAGACAGTGCCCGCAGCGGGGCCCGAGGAGGCCGAGGCCGAGGCCGACCCCGGGCCTGAGGGGCCTGAGACCGGCGAAGCGGGCAGAGAAGGCGAGGCCGAGGCGGGAGAAGAGGTTTCGGCAGCAGCGGAGGCGCCCACCCCCAGGAGCAAGGAGGACCCTGAACCGGATAGGCGGTTCCTCGAGCTGGGCAACGGCCTGGAGGAGGGCGAAGGTCCTTCCTCGCACCCGTTGGGCTTCCACTTTCCTGTGCATCCCAAGTCTTGGCTCCACCCGGACGGCTTCCCGATCCTGGGCCTCCCGGACTTCGCGGAGCGGCTGCCGGCTGACAGGCGCCCCCTCTCTGGACCTCTGGGGGGCCGGCTATCCCTGGTGGAGGGCGCAGGGCTGGCCTGCGACCCTTTTGGCGGCACAAGCGGGCCCGGGGGCGTTGGCGGCGGGCTGCACGCCTTTGGGCCTGCTGTTGGGGGGCTGCTGGCTGAGCCCGCGCCTGCCGCGCTGGCTGAGGAGGAGAGTCCGTGGATCTGCTCTGACTGCGGCAAGACGTTCGGACGCCGCGCGGCACTGGCCAAGCACCAGCGCTACCATGCGGGTGAGCGGCCGCACCGCTGTGCCGACTGTGGCAAGAGCTTCGTGTACGGTTCACACTTGGCGCGCCACCGGCGCACGCACACGGGCGAGCGGCCCTTCCCTTGCCCCGAGTGCGGCGCGCGGTTTGCCCGCGGCTCGCATCTGGCGGCGCACGTGCGTGGCCACACCGGCGAGAAGCCCTTCGTGTGCGGCGTGTGCGGCGCGGGCTTCAGCAGGCGCGCGCACCTAACGGCGCACGGGCGCGCGCACACGGGCGAGCGGCCCTACGCGTGCGGCGAGTGCGGCCGCCGCTTCGGGCAGAGCGCAGCGCTGACGCGGCACCAGTGGGCGCACGCCGAGGAGAAGCCGCACCGCTGCCCCGACTGCGGCAAGGGCTTCGGCCACAGCTCGGACTTCAAGCGGCACCGGCGCACGCACACTGGCGAGAAGCCCTTCCGCTGCTCTGACTGCGGCCGCGGCTTCGCACAGCGCTCCAACCTGGCCAAGCACCGGCGCGGCCACACGGGCGAACGGCCCTTCCCGTGCCCCGAGTGCGGCAAGCGCTTCTCGCAGCGCTCGGTGCTCGTCACGCATCAGCGCACGCACACGGGCGAGCGGCCCTACGCCTGCGCCAACTGTGGCCGCCGCTTCTCGCAGAGCTCGCACCTGCTCACCCACATGAAGACGCACCGCAGCGCGGCCGGCGCGCCCGGCCCCGCGCCCGGCCCCCCCGCGCCCAAGGCGGAGGCTCCCGCCAAGGTGCCGCCTGGTGCGAGTGCGGGCACGGGTGTGGGGGATCGCGGCAGCACTCTGCTGGAGTTTGCGGGTGGAACCAGCTTTGGCTCCGAGCACACGGCCGCGTTCGCGGGGCCCTCGGGCGCCTACGAGGAGAGCGTCCTGTGAGGGCCCGAGGCCGACCGAGGCGCAGCCCGCCAGGCCACCGCCTCCTCCACGGGGTGGCTAGGGCGCCGGCCGCTGCGCGCCGGCCCTTTGCTCCTAAGGCCTTGCGGGGCTGAGGGTTCCAGTCCTGGTGCGGTGCCTTCCCTCAACCCCCGGCCGCGAGCCTCCCTCCCACCCAGCTCCTACAGCTACGCAGGGGTCACGGGGAGAAAAGAGCCGAGCGAAGGAGGCGAGGGCCGGAGCGGTCACCCCGACAGAGACTGCAGCATCCCTGGGTCGGTGCTCTGAAGCCAAGTGGTAGGGATGGCGAGCGATGTTATTTATTTTACTTGGATTCTGACTTGGGTGGCCCGCGGGACAGGTGGCCGATGAATACGTAACAGGGATTTACAGTGAGAGGGAAGCCCTTGTGTCAAGGGGAGGGTGGGTGGTGGAGGGCGGAGCCTCGGCTGCGCCGGCGGGTTTGCTGACGACGTTCTCCGTCCCTCAGTGGAAGACTGAGGGACCTTCTGGTCATTTGAGTGTGTCCGGAGCGTTTTAAGGCCTGTGCGTGTGGGGAAGCCTTGTGGGTTTCCAAAGGACGATGTTCCTCCCTAACCGAGGGGATGGAGATGCTACTGGGAAAGCTTTGATTCCGACTCGACTGTGGGTATTTATTTCCATTTCTTGTATGGCGTGAGAATCGGGGAGGAGGAGCAAATGCCAGAAACCAAATCTGTGGCCTAGGGCTGGTGGGTTGCAGGTGTTCGCCTGCCCAGAGGGAATTTGAAGCCTTATTCTCCGGAGTCACCCACTCCCGTCACTCCACTTGAGCACCGAGATGGGCCAGGCGCTCAACACGCTGAGCGGTTTTAGTCTCAGCCTCCCCTTTGACTCCTTTGGTACTTACCTCCCGCATGGGAGGTGGCACACTCAGAGATCCTCAGGGGCCCTGGGCCCCAGCCTTCAACCCCCTGGGCTGCCTGCCGCCTCTCCTGGAGCAGGTGGACACATGGGACCCTGCTCTTCTGAGCCCAACGCTCATTTAGATTTAATAACCAAATGTAAAGTGACTGAGGTTGGTGGCAGGATCACTTCTCACATCCCATAATCAGGGCCCTATGACATCTGCAGGTCCTTTTAACTCTGCTTCTGTCACTTTTCTACACTAGAAGCAGGCAGTGTTTCTGTTTAGAGTCCCATGTCACAGAGTGGGCAGTCTGCACAGTGGCGGTCCCCTTCTGGGGGTGTGGACCTGAACCCATGGCTCAATGACAAACTGAGCACCCAACTATGCAAGGCCTGCACCTGGCCGGCACCCCACCCTCCAGGCTGGCCCATTGGTAACCGCTGGGCAGGCAGCTGAGGCATGGCTTCTGTGAGACCCCCTCCTCCCTCAATGCCTCTGTGGTCAGTGTGAATGGGGCCAGAAAACAGATTCCGAAGCAACTGCATTCCCTTTTAGACCTAGTTCCTTCTGTTTTAGTGTAGACATGGCCTTGCGGCCTGAGAGCCAGCAGCCAGGCTGCTAGGGGCTGGGGTAGGAGGCACAGTAGTTGGTGGGTGGGAAGAGGGCCTGGATGGTGGTGGTAAGAATTAGCCTGGCTGGGTGAGGGGGTGGGCTGGGGTGGTGAAGAGTGCTGGGGTCCTGGCCCCGGTCTCCTATCCCCGTGGGACAGGAGCCTCAGAAAGGGCCAAGGGCAAGGTGGGCTGGCCCCCCATGGCCGGGGTCTGGCTCTGTGCTGTCACTCCTGGCACACCCCTGGAGTGCATACCTTTGGCTCCCCTCCTGGGTCCAGCTGCTTCTGCCCTGCCCCATCTGTTGGCAGGAGGACCTAGCTTTAATAAAAAAGACTGGAGAAATGAGCTTTCTGACTGGATTGCGTGTTGTTGCTGCTCCGTGGTGCCCTCAGGGAGGTGCTGCAAGGCCTCAGCCCCATCTTGTCTCTGCAAACATTTTTTAGGAAACCAGACTTGGTCTCTGAGGAGTCAACCTGAGATGAGCTTTGACCCTGCTGCCTGGGTCTACCAGGTCTTTCCCCCAGAAAGTCTTTCCCCAGCAGGCCCCTGCACACTGCCACATACCCTGTCATCCACTCACCTGTACAGGGACATTGTTGTGTTTAGGGTTGTTTTGGCCAGCCTTCCCACGATCCCCTTCCTGGCGGTCCAGAAACGTGCCTGAGCCACAAACCCTCCTCAGAGGCCCGAACACCATGTGGGTTTATCCAGGCTCACCTGCTCCGTAACAGAGCAAAGCATACCTCCCCAGGGCCCCACCTACCTTTGAACTGATTTAGTGACTTCTCACCACATCATGTCCCCAGGACCAGATCTGACCCTCCCATCCTTTCCCCGTGTTTTTGAAAAATATGAACTGTGAAGTAAACTCTGTTTTCAAATGTGATTTGGAGGCATCAGGACACAACCCAATATTTCAGATTTTTGAAAAAGGCTTTGTGTGGCAGATGGTTGTGAAGACCTAGTTAAGAAGGATGGCCTTGAGGATCTTAAAGTCTATTCCAAAATACTAAATGATTCTCTGATAGAATATTGTCCAGCCAAATATTTTTTTATTTTGGTGGGGGGTAACTCCAATCCTGATGGTCATAGAAAGAAAGGAGACAGCGTTCCTGGTTTTGAGAGGACTTCTGAATTTCTGGAGTCCTGATTCATTCCACAAATGCTAATTTAGCACCTCCTATCATTACCAAGGAGGAATGGAAGCCCCAGTGACCTGGGAGATGTGACCCTTGAAAGGTGCTTCGAGAGTCATGAGGCCCTGAGCGCCCCTCTCACCTCCACCTACGTTTGTTATTTTCCTGTTTCTCTATTGCTCGCATTCCTTTCTCCTGACCCTTTCGCTTAATCTCTTCAAACATTTCCTTCTAACTCTTTTCCTTTCTCTAATTGGCTACATATGGAATAAAGTATTTTGAAATTTTTGGTTATATTTATTAAATAAAGCTTTATGATCCTTGTTCATTATTTAATTTTCTTTCCTGATTATAAAACACCTTCTAGTTGTAAGAATTCCAACAGTACGAAAATGTGTCAAGTACACTTTTCATCTAAAAAGTCATACCATGAACAGCCATCAGGCACCGCGGTGGCTGCAGGGGGTGTGGAGCACATTTCTTCTGTGTCCATGGAAATGTTTTAAAACTAGGGACATACTTCACATATCCTTCTACAACTTGCTTTTTTCATTCAACAATATATTAGGACATTCTCTCCTACCTGACAGAGCTACCTCACTCATTATAACTGACGTATCACAGCATTTCATTGTACGCATGTACCATAATTTATGTAACTACTCCTCTGCCAACGGGTGTTTGGTTGTTTCCAGTTTCTCTCTATTACAAACAATGCTGCAATGTAGATCCTTGTACATCTGTATTTGTGCAGTTATGCAGACTTTTAATACATCTGTTTATATAAGATAAAGTCCTGGAAGTGATGTTGCTGGGTCAAAGGGCATGCAATTTAAAGTTTTGGATATAACTACATTGCCACCAAAAAAAGCTAACTCCAGTCCAACAGCATGTTCTCCCAGTGTGGTGACAAAGTGCTGGTGGCCCACGTCCTCACCAACACGGTGCATCAACAATCATTTTAATCTTTGCTTTGTTGTTTGTCTTACAGAGGGGTGAATGGTTTGCATGTCTCCATTTCTTTTTAATATGTAGGTAGGTTACAGTATTTTTAAAATGCATGGCGTTTGCCAAGTGGCCATGGCTATAAAATATCCCCACCCAGTCCAAGTTGATAGCTTCCTTATTTTCTCATCTGACAATATGTCCTAGGCTCACCTTGAAACTTTCCTACCGCAAACCTCTATTCATTCTGTTCTCCAATGAGCCCTGATTCCTTTAGTGGGAAATGATTTGCACAGACCACAATTAGGGTGCTGGGGTGCCCAATGCTATTGGGTTGATTCTTTTTCCTAAAGGAAAAAAAATCATTTTCCATCTAGAATTCTATATTCAGCCAAGCTATTCTTACAGTTTTGAGGACAAATAAAGCTATGTTTAGACATGCAAGAATTTAGAAAATTTACCATTTATTAAACAATTCTTAGCAGGCATATCAGAAAATGAAAGAATCAAGAGAAAGATTCGGGACGTAGGAAATAATGGAGCCAGTCCAGGAGAAAGCGGTCCAGGATGACAGCTGTTCATCCGTGTGATCTGAACAAGAGGATGAGTAGCTTCAGGAGGTAGGTCTCGGTGGAACAGGGGGACCTGTAGAGTAGAAAATAGGACTCAGAGGTTGGGCATGGAAGAGCAGAGCTGTGGGGAAAGGCAGGTCAGAAGGTAAAAACCGACCTCAGCGTGGAACAGCGAACGGGGCATCTTCAGGCACAAACTGCGACAGGGAAGAACCAGGGCCTTGCTCCCACTTTGAGACAGAGTGAATGTTGATGCCCCTACCATGTCTGATGGCCGACATGGCCACTGTGATGATCTGTGCAGTTTTTGTTCTGTGATTATTTTTTAACTTCGAAATTATGTCTTCATTTTTATCTTTGACCATACTGAATATGCTTATTTAAGTTCCTGCCATATTGCTCCATAGACAAAATTTCTATCTGGGTGGATTTGTGCTTTGATTGGTAAATCTGCTTATTATTTTCTTGGCATTAGATTTCTTCATATTTTGGAAACCTACTTTGCAGGCAGGCTCATTTTGAGTAGAAGAGTTGTTGCTTTTTTTTGGCTAGTGTTAAGGTTTCATTCTCTCACTCCCCCTGTCCAGCAGTCCAGCAATTGTTGGTTACCTCTGTAGTAACCAAGAGACGTGATAACAGTGTGCTGAGATGCTGCTCTGTGATGAAACCAGGCGTGTTGCAGACCCAGGGAAGGAGGCAGCACGTGTCTAGGCTGGATTCCTGGTCGGGAAGCTTCACCCATCTCCCTAGGTCCTCAGCTCCCTGTAATCCCCAGCAGCAGGTGGGCAGCCCTGTTCCCAGCGCTTTCACCCAGTGAGCCTGCCTTTGGTCCTTTCTCATCCAGATCCTTGAAAGTGTCCTTTCTCCCCCAAACTGAGCTCCCAGCCAACTCCCACCCGCTCCCTTCCAAACCTAGAACCCACGAGGCCTTTGCCTCTGACCACTCACATTGTTTCTGCTCGTTGTTGGTCCATAGAGATGTTAGCCTTGCTTTCTGAGCCTGGCTTGGCTTTTTAATTCTCTATTTACAAATGTTATCTTTCACTACTTTGGATTGAAGCAAGGGACATGTTGAAGGCAAACTTGCTGTGTTATCTTCTTGCCTGGATTGATGTCGTTTTTACTACTTCCCGTTTACTTTATCCTCTTCACCCTCCCTAGTTTTCCAACTCTATATGCACCCTCCCCTTCTTTTTCTCTAACAGACTCTCTATATTGCTGGGGTGTTGGTGTGCTCCAACTACGTTTTCCAGCCTTCCTTGTAGATAGAAGTGGCTAATTAGATATAAGGAAAAGATAATTTTGTGGAGCTTCTAGGAAAGCTCTTTTAAAAGGGGCTGATTCACCTGGGAGGTATGCCTTTTTGCCGTTTCACTCTTCTTTTTTGTATGCCTGGACTGCAGATGTGATGGCTAGAGGACAGCTACCATCTTGGAACAATGAAGTCACTTCATGGATGGAAGCCACATGCTGAGAATGGCCAAGTAGAAAAATATCAAGAGCCTGGGGTCCCCATGAGCAAGATCCAGGATGAGCTGGGTGGTGGGGACATGGCCATGATCTTGTCCCAGGGACTTCCCAGTTAGGATGACCAATTGGCCACTTCTGTTTCTGAACTCCAGCTGCTGCTGCTGGGAGTAATTTTTCTTCTTCTTTTTTTTTTTGTAACAAAGAAATGTTTATTAGTACTTCATTACTCTTGTTCACATGCTTCTCCAGAGTGTCAGACTCACAGTAACAAGGCTTACTGCAGAGTAAAGGAAATGTGTGGGATGCAAACCCAGCACCCCAGAGAATAACACACGCAGGCACCATTTCTAAACGTAAGCACTCCCTGGTTTATTGGGGCACTATCTAAGGGATTTGACTTTGTTAGTTCTTGGATTCTGACTGTGTCTCTAGGAGAGGCAAACACTTAGCTGTTGAATTTTTAAGTCTGTTTTTCATCTTTTATGCTCAAAACCCCCTGTTCTCTCCTGACACAGCCTCTTGTGTACAGCTGGAAAATGAAAACAGAAGCTAGATATTCCCCACAGGATGTACACAGTAGCTTCTGGTATCCACCAGCTCAAAGTTTTATTCAAAGACCTGACTTCCTGGAAAGAGAAAAGATGCCTTTAGTGACCTGAGTTTGGAAACTGGATGACAGGGGCCCTTGAGTCACCTCTACACCTTTGAACTGCCCACGGTTTTTCCTGATTCTTAATAAAAGGAAAGCAAGTTGAAAAAAAGCCAAACACATTCGGAGGCCTGAGTTTTCCAGTGTTTGAGGACAGAATTTGAGTCTAACACCTCCTGTGCCATCTGGGTTATAAACAGGAAGACTGTTACTTCCTTAGTATGAAGATGCTCCCTATTCTGAGAGGAATTTTTCATGTGTAAGGAGTCTGCATTCCTTGCTCTCCACACACGATACTGTCTGCTGTGAGACTGTGCCTCAACGTTGCCCTTCAATAAACAGTCAAGTTTTTTTCTTCTGCCTTTGCCAGGGGTAATTTTTCAACTGACCCACTGTATTTGTATCTTTAAGACTCAGAGTCCCAGGTGGAAGCATCTGATTGGCTGAGCTTGGGTCAGGGGCACCTTTCCCAGCTGCCAGGGGGTAGAGAATACCTGGCCTCTTTGTCATCTATTTTGGGACTCAAACAAAAGTTCCTCCCTGGAGAGTCAAAAACCATGGGTAACATCCACTGTACCCCTGTAATAACTGATATATCTGGGAAGGTTTTGGCCTGGAACCTCTCCCCTGACCAGGTGAGCTGTGGCTCTTTGCCACTCACTTCCAAGGAGGGTTAGGAAGAGAACACAGGGCTTGGGGCTTGGCAGACATCCCTGCTTTCCAGTCTATTCTAACTCTCCATCATCCAGGCCCTTGCGTGCAAGTCCTCCCCTTTCTTTGATCCTGGTTCTCAGAATCCTGGGCTTTATCCTGACCTCATCTTATAGCACCTCTTCCCATTTCCCCATCTCGACCTGGCCCTGTACAACAGCCAGCTCACACAGGCTGTAGCATTCCTTCAGGGACTTCTTTTCCGGTTGCTCAGCCCATTCTGAGAGGGTCTGAGCCAGGTGTTCACCCACCTAGTTCTGCCCTTGGTGCAGGTCAATTAAGAATCATTCCTGGGACCAGTCATGCCTTCTGAATCACGATGGAAAGATGTTGATGCTCATGCTCTGCCTTTAGGATTTCTTTCTGGATGGAGATGACAACATGTAGGACAGGAGACAAAAATGTGAACTTGGTTTTTTTCACTTGTCATGCTCATTCATGGAGGTGGTGGCTGGACATTGAATGGCTTGCAAAAAACCCCAGTGTCTCCATCACTATTTGCCAGCCCAATGCTCAAGGCAGCAGAAAGATGCACTCTCCTCTCCTTCATTTGCCAAATCTTACATGAGTGCATCTAACAGGCATAATTTGGGGTCAGAATCCTAGCAGCAGGGGAGCCTGGGAAATGCGGTATTTAGCTTCCCAGTCTCAGTAGTTTAAGGAAGGGAAGAGTCTGCTCACCATGCCTTGGCCCCTGTCATCAATAGAGAACCCCACAGGAGGCTGCTTGTTGATGCCAGGATTTGTGGGGTTTGGCTGCCTGGTCCCTGATGTTGAAATGTGTCAGCCAGGCACAGGCCACAGATGAAGTTCTTGGGTGAAGAACAGCAAATACTGTGATTGGCATACACAGAAGGTGCTAACTAGATGGTTCTCGGTCTATTTGCATGAATGATCTCAGGAAACTATGGACCCATTATCACAGCATCTCTAAGATTTAGAGCATCTCCTCTGGGAGTGTCACGGGAGCATTAAAAAACCTTAGTGGGAGGGATCAGACCACATCTAATCTTTTCTGACTAGACATGATTTTACTGTTCCTTCCAGAGGCCTGTCCTAATATCGACACTTGGACCTTCTCATTAGAATCACATGCAGATTTCTTTCTTTCTTTTTCTTTCTTTTCTTCTTTTAATTGAGGTTAAGTTTATATAACATAAAAATAACAATTTTGAAGTGTATAGTTCAGGGGCATCTGGCACATTTACAATGTTGTGCAACCACCACCTCTATCTAGTTCCAAAACTTTTTCATGACTCTGAAAGGAAGTTCTAAAATTCACTAATGCTTTAAGAATTTGCTTTTGAATTTAAAAATCTTGAATCCAGGCAAAACTTATGTACTCTAATGTGTGAGCTAGGGATTTTACACTAATTGTACTTGAGAGCCGTCAAGGGTTGAGCTAACAGAATATAACAGAATATACTTTATTCTCCCACCAATCCCAAAGGCCCCATTGTCATTTGGTAAAACGTTAAACACCCTTTGTCCCATGCCTGTTCCCTGGTTTCTCATGATCCTTCTTTAATGTTTTCTTTATGGAAAAATCATCAGAAAGTTGTGTGTCTGAAGGTTCAGTGGAGTCATCTCTGGAAGAAAGTGTGAGATACCCTTTTTATTCTTTTCGTTGTGTGCATTTTGACATACTGTCTATTTTCGTGAATTGCATCCTAAATTTTGCCCCCCCCCCCGTTTACTTATTTTTTTTTCATTCACATTTAAAAAAATTGCCTGGCTGTGCTAATTTGGTTATATTTTTCATCTGTATTCCTGAATCTCTCCCTTGCTTGGCTGCTGTGAGGCGGCCCCTTATCTCTAGGGACCGAAATCCTCTCCTCGTGGATTTGGGCTGAGGTGCCAAGGGGGAGGAGCGGGATGAAGTGGGGTGCAGAGAGGTGAGAGTGATGTGGGGTTGGTGGGGACAGGTCCCTGCAGGCCCCGCCCCTTGAATTGGGCGGAGCCTTCCGCGGGGTTTGCGGCGCTCGCGGCCGGGGTCCGCGTCGGGCTGTGTGCGCAGGCGCGCGTCGCTCCTCGGCGGGGCGTCCGGGTGGTGGTGAGCTTAGCTCGGCGCGGTGGCGTGTGGGTCAGGCGGGAGTCCTGGAGGTTGGGCCGTGGTCCGCGCGGGCGGGTCGAGGCCGCCGAGAGGGGCGCAGCCTCGGGGCCCGCTCGGGCCGCCCTCCCCGGCGGGGGCCATGTCCACAGTGAGTGCGGCGCCCGAGCGAAAGCGCCGGAAGTGCCGTGTTTCGGGGAGAGGCCGCGCTTGCTGCAGCGTCTCCATCCTCATAACAGCTGAGGCGGCCGGAACGTGGCCCAGAGGACGGAGCGACAGACCGCCCCGGGCCCCGCGGATTAGGGAGGTAAGGTAGGACCGGGTGTTGCGCCTTGCCCGCAGTGCACGGCGTCCGTAGCCCGCCGCTGCCTCCTGCGCGGTCTTTGGGGTGGCGCCCGTTCCAAAGGCCCCCAATACATATCTGAAATGTGTGTGCCCGAGGCCTGCCGGCGGCTGTTTGAATCTGTGGTTCCTTAGAGTGTCCTTAGCGCCTGTGGACAATGCTGCACAGTCGAGCCGCGTGGAACCTCCCTGCCCGTCTCCCCAGCGCTGTCCAGCAGTGCTGCCCGCCGCATCTGCGCTGTCCAGTGGGCCGAGAGCGCTTCACGGTGCCAGCCTGCCTTTGTCCTCAGACTCCTGCTTTGCACTTGTAGGTGTGCGGCCTGAGGTTTCTGGCAGCTGAGTGTTCCTAGAGAGGCAGGTCCGGGGCCCCTGATGAGGGCTCCAGCTAAAGTGAGTTTGTTCCCTAGGCTCTGCTGGAACAAAGCAACGCTGCTGAGGTCAGGAGGAGGGGGCTTCAGGAACAGGCATCACACCGGGAGGAACCTGAGACCCATCAGAGCTTCAGAAGCGGGGAAGAACCCAGGTTAGCAGAGTATCTATCGCCCAGAGGGGCCAAAGCGTGAGTGATTTCACCACTTGCAGAAGCTGTGAGTTGCTTTGTAGAAGAGAGAAGGGAGGTGGGGCTGAGAGTGGTGGTGAGGGATGGACTGAATGAGAAATGTCACATGGATGGAATGCTGGGGGATTTCACAGCTGGGAAGCTTTGACTCTTTAACCCCCACACCCAAACAGCACCCCCACACACACACTCCCTAATTCTTTCCAGAAGCTGGGCAGCCATCTAATCATGTCCAGTCACCATGGCTGACACCTAAAGATGTGCTGTTCTGTCTCTCCTGATCTTACAGGGTCAAGAGAAGTAGTTCAGAGAGGGCTTGCCAGGGTTATCTATTTTTGGAAGGAGAAAAAGATTGTGAAAGGAGAAATGACTTGTCTAGGATCAGTAAGAGGTGAATGGGAGAAGTCAGCATCCCCGACTCCTGGCTTGGTGCTGTCCACACAATCACACTGATACAAGTTTCATCTTAAAAGATTATTCTGAGAAACAGCAATCAAATGAGAAGAAAGAGTTATTTAAAAGACCCATGTTTAAGTTACCTAATCCCTTTTTCCAAAGCTTGATGAGGCTTCTTGAACTCAAGGGGTTAACATTATTGGTAGTGAAACACATACAAAATTGCCTTTTGGCTTTTCCCCCCCCTGCAGTGTCAGCTTTAATGAAGGCATCCTGTGTCATCTTTTGAGATTCTATTATTTGCTTGAGAATTCGGTTTTAAATGTTGCCAGAGTCAGTGATAGAGGGACATGAATAAAGCAGTAGGGAACACCGCAGGTTTAAAGATTCAAAAATGGATGGATGTTACCTTTTTCTCCTCCTCCAGGATCAAAGGTAGAAGTTTTTCAGAGGAGAATCAAGGAGCTGCAGGGCCAGCCAGTTCTCATTATTGTGTTCCTCTCCCCTCCTCTCTCAGGTATGCCTTCCCAGGTTGCAGCGCTCTTCCTAGAACAACAGAAAATGAACATCTCAGGTGAGTTGTTTCTTTAGTCCCTATTTTATTTTTCAGTGGATTTCATGGCTTTTGTAAGTGTGTCCATATATTGAGATGGAAACGTGGAAATAGATTTTTTTTTTTAAAAAAAGTTACTTCCAAGTAAATAAAGAGTGAGTGAGGGGCCGGCCGAGTGGCTCAGTTGGTTAAGAGCTTGCTCAAGAGTTTGAGCTCTGAACAACAGCGGTTCGAGTCCAGCCCGAGCTGAGCAGCCGCTGAGCTGCCAACAGGTAGCAGGATGGCTCAGCTAAAAAAAAAAAAAAAAAAAAAAAAAAAAAGAGTGAGTGAGGAACAGCTGACTAGCAGGAAGAGATGGCTGTCATCTGTGTAGGTCATGTGATCCCACAGTCATCAAAAGTGAACAGCACATTTATCTTTAATCTTTCTGATTTACACAGGATTTTTACTGACCATAAAGAGAAAGCAGCCAGTTATCCCTGGGACAGAAAGAATTCCTGGCATTGGGGTTTGGAAAACATGTCTTTGAAGGTCTTCAGTAGTGAAGAGCCTAGTAGTAACCCATCTGTTGCCAGTAATTGTTTTTCACTGGAAGTAGAGGGCAGAGCTCAGAGGTTTTATAGGGACCATAGCACTGTGGACTCCTTTGAGCTTTTTTTTTAGCTGAGCCATCCTGCTACCTATTGGCAGCTCAGCGGCTGCTCAGCTCGGGCTGGCATTGAACCGCTGTTGCTCAGAGCTCAAACTCTTGAGCGAGCTCTTAACCAACTGAGCCACTCAGCCGGCCCACCTTTGAGCTTTTTGAATGTATGCTTTGATCTAAGGACAAAACCTAAGACTGTCTAGAGGAATAAAAGGAATAGACTGCGTGTCCTTAAAATAATTCCTTAAACTGTACAGGTTGGACAGCAGATAGTTCAAACTCATAGGCTTTGGCAAATGTTTATGCACTACCTGCTCATATTTTTTTTAAATTATGGGAATATACGTATAGAAAACAATTTGACATTTTTTACCATTTTAAGTGTACAGTTCAGTGGTGGTAAATAAATACATTCATAATGTTGTACAACCACCATCACCATCCATCTCCATAGCTCTTTTATTTTCCAAAACTGAAACTCTACTCATTCCTCCCTCCCCGGAGTCCCTGACAACCACCATTCTATTCTCTGTCTCTATGATTCTGATCACTCTATCTCTATATGTTGTATCCTTCAGTATCTGTCCTTTTGTGACTGGCTTATTTCACTCAGCATAATGTTCCTAGGTTCATCCTTATTGTAGTGTGTGTGAAAATTTCTTTACTTTTTATGGCTGAATAATATTCCATTGTGTATGTATATCACATTTTGCTTATCCATTCATCTGTAGATGGACAGTTAGGCTGCTTCCACATTTTAGCTATTGTGAATAATGCTGCTGTAAACATGGATGTACAAATATTTCTGCAAGATAGTGCTTTCAGTTCTTTTAGGTATATACCCAGAAGTAGAATTGCTGGGTCATGTGGTCATTCTCTTTTTAATTTTTTGAGGAACTGCTGTACTATCCCCACCAACAGTGCCCAAGATTTCCAATTTCTCCACATCTTTTCCAACACTTGTTACTTTGTGTTATAGTGTTGTTTTTTTATAGTAGCCATCCTAATGAATGTGCAGTTTTAATTTGCATTTCCCTAATGATCAGTGATGTTGAGCATCTTTTCATGTGCTTATTGGCCGTTATTGTATTTTCTTTGGAGAAATGGCTATTCAAGTCCTTTGTGCAGTTTAAGTCTTCCAATCTGTAAACATGAGTGCATTCCCAGTTAGTTAGGTCTTTCTTTCAGCACTCTTTTGTAGTTTTTTTTTTTTTTAAAGATTTTTATTGGGGAATTGGGGGGATGGGAACAGTGCTGGGGAATTGGGGAAAGGGGAACAGACAAGTTGCTGTCGTTTTGTTCTTCAATCTAGTTGTGGAGGATGTTGCTTCACCTGCCCAAGTTGGCACCATCATTGCGCTCTTCCCGGGCGAGGCAGATCAGTCGCCGGCTTCTGGACGGCCGCTCACTGCGGCTGCTGGCCGCTCACGCTGGCTGCTGGCCACACACGATAGCCCATGGCAATCCACTGCCACAGGGACTGCAGCCCACGCCGTCGCCGGCGACTCATGGCAGCCCAGCTCCAGGTTGAGCTGTTGTTCAGCATCTTAGCTGTGGAGGGCAGTGTCACTGGCCCTCATATGTGGGATCCAAACCGGGGCCCTCTGGCATCCCAAGCGAGTTCTTAACCATCGCGCCACTCGGCCGGCCCTCTTTTGTAGTTTTCATTGTATTGGGTTGTCGGAAAAGTTATGATGCATGTTTGAAACAGATGGCACTAGTTCATTTTTGGAAGTACTAGAGTCATTTGCATCTATGTTATTGCTATGTCATTTGACAGCTGACAGTTCTAGCTTCATTCTAAAAAAAAAAATTGAGCGATTTGGTTGAGCTTTGGAGATTTTACAACAAGTTGAAGATAGAAGACCAAACTGTGCATTTTTGCCATATTTCACTGTCTTCCATAAAGAGAATAACGCGCGTCAAGCTTGTGAAGAGTTGCATAAAGTTTACAGTGACAATGCTCTACAAGAACATCAGTGCCAACGATGGTTCACAAAATTCCATGCTAGTGATTTTGATCTCAACGACGCTCCTCGGTCAGGGAGGCCCACCGAGGCTGATGACAACAAAATAAAGGCATTGATCAAGTCAAACCCACGTTACACGACACGAGAGATTGCAGGAACATTGAACATCCATCATTCAAGTGTTCACAACCATCTGAAGAAGCTGGGATACGTAAGCAAGCTCGATTATTTGGGTTCTGCATGAACTCAAAGAAGTTCATTTGATAGCATATATAAACATCTGCAGTATGCTCATTAAACTTGAGGAAAACGATCCTTTTTTGAAGCGACTGATAACTGGTGATGAGAAGTGGATTGTTTACAACAATGTGGTGCGCAAACAGTCTTGGTCCTGACGTGATGATTTGCCTCAAACAACATCGAAAGCAGACATTCATCAGAGGAAGGTTATGCTCTCAGTGTGGTGGGATTTTAAAGGTGTCTTGTTTTTCGAGCTCCTACCAAGGAACCAAACAATCAATTCGACAGTTTGAATGAATCCATCATCCAGAAATGTCCAGAGCTTGTTAACTGTAAAGGAGTTGTGTTCCATCGTGACAACGCAAGTCCACACACAAGTTTGATCACCCGTCAAAAATGATTGGAACTTGGATGGGATGTGTTGCCACACCCACCATACTCGCCTGAACTTGCACCATCAGACTTCCACTTGTTTTGCTCTCTTCAAAACTCCTTGTGTGGTATAATGTTCAATTCAGATGAGGCTGTAAATCAGCACGTTGTTCAGTTTTTCACAAATAAAGACAAGTCCTTCTATGTACGAGGAATTATGAAGCTCACTGAAAGATGGCAAAAGGATATTGAACAAAACGGGCAATATATCATTGATTGATCTTTGTTCTTTATATAAATAAATGACCTTTGAAAAACAGACAAAATACGTCATGACTTTTCCAACAACCCAATACAAGTCTTTCACCTTTTTTGTTAATTCCTAAGTATTTTATTCTTTTTGATGCTATTGTAAATGAATTGATTTTGTAATTTCCTTTTCAAATTGTCGTTAGTGTAGACAAATGCAGCTGTTTTTATGTTGACTTTCTATCCTGCTACTTTATTGAATTCTTAAATTTTATTTATTAGCACTCACAGTGTTTTGGGGGTGTGTGTACGGACTTTTGAGGGTTTTCTACATGTAAGATCACATCATTTGTGAATAGATACAATTTTTGAAAATCTTTAACTTCTTTTTCTTGCATAATTGCTCTAGTTAGAACTTTGAATACTGTATTGAGTAGAAAAGATGAAAGCAGGCATCCTGCCTTGTTCTGATCTTAGAGGAAAAGCTTTCAGTCTTTCACCTTCAAGTATAATGTTAGCTGTGGGTTTTTCATATAGGGCTTTTATTGTGTTAAGAGTCCAACTTTGTTAAGAGTTTTTATCATGAATGGGTTTTGAATTTTGTCACATGCTTTTTCTGCATCAATTGAGATGATATTTTTTTTTCAGCATTCTGTTAATGTGTGATGTGTTATTGATTTTTGTATTTTCGTATTTTCAGCTGTCCTCACATTCCAGGAATACCACTTGGTCATAGTGTATAATCCTTTTTATATGCTGCTAAATTTGGTTTGCTAGTATTTTGTTGAGGGTTTTTGCATCATTGTTCATAAGGGATATTGATCTGTAGTTTTCTTGCAACATCTTCTTCTGGTTTGGGTATTGGAGTAATGCTGGCTTCATAGAATGAGTAAGGAAGTGTTTGCTTCTTCACTATTTTGGAGAAGTTTGAGAAGGATTGGTATTAGCTCTTCTTTAAATGTTTGGTAGAATGAACCAGTGAAGTCATCAGGTCCAGGACTTTTATTTGTAAGGATATTTTTCATTATCGATCCAGTCTCCTTACCAGTTATTCAGATTGTCTATTTTCTTCATGATTTAGTCTTGGTAGGTTTTGTGTTTCCAGAAATTTGTCCATTTCATCTTTGTTATCCAATTTGTTGGCATACAGTTGTTCATAATACTCTCTTATAATCCTTAACAGAATCAGTAGTAATGTCCTTGTTTTCATTTCTGATTTTAGTAATTCACTCTTTTTTCTTTTTTCTTAATTCACCTAGGTAGAGATTTGTCAATTTTGTTCATCTTTTTAAAAAAACAGTTTTTGGTTTCAATTTATCTATTTTTCTATTTTCTATTTTGTTTATTTCTGCTCTAATCTTTATTATTTCATTCCTTCTGCTAGGTTTGGTTTAATTCTTTTTATAGTTCCTTAAGCTGTAAAGCTAGGTTGTTGATCTGAGATCTTTGTTCTTTAATGTAAACGTTGAAGCTATAACGTGATAGCCTGCATGTCTTCATTGGCTCCTTGTTAACCTCTGCAGTAACACCTACCGCCTGTGGAGGGCAGACGACACTCCAGTGTTTTTTTCTCTGGTGGGAAGAAAACAATAGGTTGTTTTTAATGAGGACACAAAGAGATAAATGAAGCTTATCCTTATTGTGTAAATTGGCCAGATGTATATATTATTTATTTAAAAATAAATAAATTAGGGGTACTCAAAACTTTATTGCTGGGGTGGTGATGAAGTATTTTGATGAACTAAGATCACTAACCTACAGGAGTGAGTCCCGAATTACTCTGTAATGCAGTCCTGAATTCCTTTGCAGCCCTTTGTCTCCTCCCAGCCCTAAGCCCCATTCTCTGATTATATTGCTCTGGTTTTCATGCCTCTTTGAATTTGCTTATGCGCTGGTGCCACATTAGTGAAGATCTGTTAAGAGAAGCCTAGCCTGACAATTCAAAATAGAACCATGGTTTCTACCATTATTTAATACTGATTATAATGATTCTAGCACATCTCTCATAATACCTTATTATAGGATAAATGTTCATAAATATGATTTGTTTCCTTACTATGATTTAAGCTTCTTGGGGCAGCAAAAAAGGATTGATTTAGCTTAATATTCCTGGCAAGCTAGGACAGTTTCAGATACATAGTAGGAACTTTAAATTTTTTTTGTTTGAATTAATAAGTTAATACACTATCTGGGTTTTCCTGTCATTATACCATTTCATCCCACAAAGTAAAACAAAACAAGGTGTAGAATAGGCAACCTATGTAATATTTATGGTAAAATCTCCAAGTAAACATGTTAAGAATTACTTCCCAGATATCTATTTCATGCCACCCAATATTGATCTCTTTGGCTTGAACAGAAATGTGCTGGTCAGGGATCTGTGTCATTCGAGAATGTGATTGTGGACTTCACCCGGGATGAGTGGCTACAACTGACCGGTGTGCAGAGGGCCCTGTACCAGGATGTGATGCTGGAGAACTACAGGCACCTGGTCTCAGTGGGTGAGTTGGTTTCCCTGTGTCATGCCACACAGGGAATAAATAAAAGCATGTGTTTATTTTCATGTTCTTACCTGCCAAAATGTATGGGCCCTTGGTGGAGTTTAATGGTATTTATGTGTACTTCTCATGGGTCAGAGGTGATTGTTCCCATGGGGCACAGAAAGAATGTTTGTGTTCTCACCTCCCTAATGAAAGGTTCAAATAGGTGGGCACCTTTATCATGTGACTCCTGAAACTGCACCTTCCTTGTCCTTCAGGGGCCCCAGTGTTCAAGCAGCTTCTCAGAAGTCTCACCCTGAATCTCACTCACAGGGTGTTGCATCACCCAGCCAGAGGTGATCTTCAGGCTGATGCAAGGAGAAGAGCCGTGGCCATTAGCAGGAGAATTCCAAGGCTGGAGTGATCCAGGTGAGCGAGTCATCGCCAGGCGAAAAAAAGAAGCCAGTGGTAATCAGGGCCCAGGTTGGTTCAGAGGTTGGGACCTTTGGTCTGTTCCTCAGTGATTCTGTGAAGGGCTCTCAGAGCTTTGGAAGTAACTGAACAGCAAGCCAGCATGCCTCAAATAAGCTGCATCACATTCTGTTCATCACTCTTAGATACAAATGCTTTCCTTTTCTGCCTGACTTTTAGTGAAGTTGACCATTCTCATACCCAGTATTGAAACCCACCTGCCTCATCAACCTTTGTTCTTGGTTTCTCTTTCTCTAGTGTTAATTTTCCCTCTATTTTCATAGGCTTTTTTTTTTTTTAATTTCCACCCTAGGCATTAATGAATGAATTTATTAATTCTGTAGATATTCCTACTATGAGCCACTTGAGTTCTCGGTGATGTTGCTCAAAAACTCATATAAGTTCCATTTGATCAGTCTCCTAAGCATTACTCAGACCTTTCTGCACAGCTGCACCTCTTCTTGACGTTTGCCCATCCCAATCCTGAAAGAAGGGCTTGGGATTGTGTCTCCTTAAAGTCCATGCTTACTGGGCTTATTTTTACACTTATTTATGTTTAAGCTAAAGTTTTCACCTGTGGTTTGAAGTGCTTCATAATTAATCTAGCCAGTTAATCCCTCCCTTCTACAATTCTCATTTCACTTAGTCGCTAAGCCACAAGCAACTTGATCAAGTACTGTGACACCAGAGAGCATCTGGTTGTTGCCTGAGGCTTTTTTCCCCATCTGGAGGGTCTCCTTTTTCACTCTTTCTTACTGTGATGTGTAATATATAGTAGGTATGTTCACCTCTTAACGCTGTTAGATATGTTTATTCAGAAAGCATTTTCTAATAAGCATTACATAGGCCTATGTGACATTCCTGTAGATTCTTATTCATAGGATATATAGATTTTCATGGGACCATGACAGTTTATAGCCTAAATTTTGAATAAATTTCCATGTAATTTGATGGCATACTGTTTGTTGAGGTCCACTAACTATACGAGTATATCTACTCAAAAGAATTTAAAGGCAACTGGAGATACATTAAAACCTGCTAGGAGCATAGGTTGTAGTTGGTAGAGGTAAACAAAATTGTATGGTATATTTTGAAATTCACAGTTATCAAGTGCTATTTGGATATAGTCAATGCTTTTCATAGTGTGTTAATGAGAAGTATAGGTAGTGACTGCTTTCAGTGTTTGAGAAAATGGTCTTTAAAAGTCATGATTTCAAAAAGTATGAGTGTGTTTGTGTGTGAGAGAGAGGGTGGGAGCCTAGGGAGAGATGGATTTCCTGGACAACATCTGGGTTTTCAGTGGAACCAAAGCTGAAAAGCAGGCAGGCTGAGCATAAGAATCTGTGTCAGACTTATAACTTGTGATTGGAAATAAATACTTCTAAAAATATTTATGTATTTTTGTGACGGTATCATGAACAACTGATATAAATCTTATTTTGTTTGTTGGCATATAGATAGTGTGCTATATCTGTATAGACATAGATAATCTGTTTTATCCCACGTCTAAGACTTCCTGTGGTGTTTCTCCTGAACATTCATGTATACTAATATTCTTGTTCCTGTTCATGGTTTTTGTTGAGCTCACTCCATTATCTGATTTTCTGTATAATGTTTTTCCCTCAGTTTATCATTTCCTGTGTTTAGCTTCCCCTTCTATTTTTAGTTCTGAAGGTCACATTTTAAAAATCGCAAACATGTATGTTTATTGCTAGTTTTACTCTTCTTTTTCCACCATAGCAGGTGTTTTCTATTTTTATTTTTCCTGATCCAAGGGGAAATATATGCTTGAGATTTCCTGTTAGGAGCTTGCGTCTGAACATTGAGAATCAGTTATGTAATAAATTATACTTGCATAGGAAATGTGTTAACATTGTAAAAGTACACTTGATTTTTTTTTTATTTCTAGAGGTCAGTAAGTTTGATGGTCAAATAGACAGAAACCAGGAAAACCAAGGTAAACATTTGTGGCGAGTTTCACTCATCAACAAAAATACGTTGACTAAGAAACGAGATAACGTTTTCAGAAAAACATTTACTTTGGACATAAACCTTGTTTCTGCAAAAACAACACCCTGTCAATATGACTCATGTGGAATGAATTTGAAAAATGTTTCACAATTAATTACTAGGAATAAAAATCAAATAAGAACTCTGATGAAATTAACACATATGGGAAGTTGTTTCTTCATGATAAACAAGAAAACACTCATATTGGAAAGAAATCTGATGAATATAACAAAGATGGGCAATCCCAAAGTCAAAATGAGGACCTTATTGATCAACAAAAAATTCAAACTTTGGGACCGCCTTTTGAAGATAGCGTGGAGAAGCCTTCCTTAATAAGGCAGCCATCATTATACCTAAGAGGCCTCAAACTGAAGAGAAATCCTGTAATAAGGAACATGGGGAAAATATCAGTGACAAGTCAACCCTCGAAGTCCATCAGGAAACCCACACAAGGAAGAATCACTCCAAAGTGTGAGAGTCAGCCCTCTTTAAACATCAGAAAGTTAACATGGAACAGAAAACCCATGAATCTAATGAGAAAGAATAATTTCAACAAGAAGTCACATCTCGTTCAACCTCATAAAACTCACACAGGAAAGAAAATTCTTTGAATGTAGTCATTGCAAGAAATCTTTTAACCAGGAGTCCCACCTCACTCAATATGAAAAGACACACACAAGACAGAAATCATGTGAAAGTAATAAATGTGGAAAAATCTTTCAGAAATCACAATCCACTGACCCCAAGAGAACTCCCCCTGGAGAGAAACCCAGTGAATGTGATATAGCCCCTGTGAAGTCAGCCCTAAATGCTCATCAGAGAGTGCAATCAGAAAAGAAGCTTTGTGTGCAATGAGTGTCAGAAATCTTTTTGTCATAGCTCAGCACTAAAAGTCCATCAGAGAATTCACACAGGAGAGAAACCCTATCAATGTAAGGAGTGTGGGAAAGCCTTCAATGCAAAAATCAAACATTAATCATCACCAGAGAACTCACACAGGGGAGAAACCATATCAATGTAAGGATTGTGGGAAATCCTTCTGTGTGAAATCAAACCTAACTAAACATCAGAAAACAAATACAATCCTCCACAACTAGACTGAAGAACAAAGCAATGGCAACTTGTCTGTTTCCCTTCCCCCAATTCCCCAGCGCTGTTCCCCTCCCCCAGTTCCCCAATAAAATCTTTTAAAAAAAGAAAACAAATACAGGGGAGAAACCTTTCAAATGTAATGAATGTGGGAAAAATTATTTTACAGAAGTCACAATTTGCAGACCATCAGAGAACACACACACAGGAGGAACCCTACAAATGTAATGAACGTGGAAAATCCTACTATAAGTCAGCCCTACATGTACTTCATGGTAAGCATACAGACGAGAAACCCTATAAATGTATTGAGTGTAGGAAGTCCTGCTATAAGTTAGCCCTCGTTATACATTATGTATCTCAAACAGGGAAGAAACCCTATGACTAATGTATGTGGGAAAACTTTCTTCGTGACTTCAAACCTCACTGAACATCAGAAAATTCCACAGGTTTGAAACCCTATGAATGTAGTGAGTGTGGCAAATCCTCCCCTCTGAATTCGATCCTCACTGTATATCAAAGAACTCACACAGGGGAGGAACTATACAGATGCAATGAATGTGAGAAGTCCTCCTACAAAAAGTCAGCCCTCACTAAACCAGAAAACTCACACGGGAGAAACCACACAAATGTAATGAATGTAGGAAAGCCTTGCATGTGGAATCAACCCTAATTATACAACAGAGAACTCACACTGGTGAGAAACCCTTTAAATGTAATGAATGTGAAAAGTCATTCTATGTGAAGTCACTTCTTAATATTCACCAGAGAAATCACAGGAAAGAAACCCCGTGAGTGTAATAAGCTTGGGAAAGCCTTTTTATGAAGTCATACCTCACTCATCATCAGAGGACACATTCGGAAGAGAAACCTTATGAATGTAATGTCAGAAAACCTTTCTCCATCAATCAACTCTAACTATACACCAGAGAATACATACAGGGGAGAAGCCCTATAAATGTAGTGAATGTGGGAAATCGTTCTATATGAAGTCAGCCCTCAGCACCAGAGAATACACAAAGGGAGAAATCTTATGAATGTAAGGAATGAGTAAAAACCTTCTTCCAGAAGTCACATCAAACACCAAAGAAGCCCCATGAATGTAATAAATGTGGGAAATCTTCCTGTTATAAGTCTGCCTTAACCATACATTAGAGAACTCACACAGAAGAGAAACCCTCTAAATGTAATAATTGTGAGAAATCTTTCGTATGAACTCACACCTCACTGTACATCAGAGAACTCACACAGGGACTAACCCCCATTGAATGTAACGAATGTGGGAAAACTTTTTATGTGAAGTCAAACCTCATTAATCACCAGAGAACTCACACCAGGGAGAAACCCTTAATGTTATGAATGTGAGAAATCCTTCTGCACGAAGTCAACTCTCACTAAACATCAGGTAATTCACACAAGAGTGATACCCTAAAATGTAACAAATGTGAAAAATTCTGTGTTAATTCAAATTGTGTCACACCTTAGAGAACTCATGGGAGAAACCTTATGAATATGGTAATGTGGAGACTTCCTTCTGTGTAAATTCAGTCTTTAGTTGACACTAGAAAGCACACGTGGTAGAGGGTGGAGGGCTCTCCATGAATAAAATGAATATTGGAAAACATGCCTCATATCTTACTAAATATCAGAGGGCTCTAAAGAAAGAGATCCCTGAGAACATCCTGTATATTAGTATCTACCTATGAATCAAAATATGCCTCAGAGAAATCACGGGAAAAATACAAAAAAATGCAATAAGAGTATAAAGCATTTACAAACTCACAACTTACTGAACATTAGGTAATCGATATTGGAGTGAAAATATATGCATGTTTTATATGCATGAGAGCTTTCAAGGAAAAAACACAAATTTTCTAAGAAAGGAATTATATAATACTGAGGAAAATCTACCAATTTAGGGACTGTGGATACATTTTTTTCTGTAGAAATAATGTAATACTAGAAGTCGTGATTGTGATGTGGTACCAAATTTTGAAAACACGACATAAGATATATCTAATGCTAATGATACTCATTGCTGGAACATGAAGCCTTTGGAAAACACAAGTTGCAGCAGCAAGGTGACAGCATTAGACCCTTAAGGGATACTTGAGGTAAGCAAGGCCTAGGTATGTTAGTATGCAACGTACATACATTGTGTGTGGTTGCTTTCCATAGTGGATGTCAAAACAGTTGTCAAGAGGAAATATCTCCCAACAGTTTAATAATTATTATGATAGATTTTTCACACTAAATGCCACCAGTGTTTCTTTGTACTTTGATAGTACAGTATACATTGTAAGTTACATATCTGAGCAATTTGAAGTGCTGTACCACAACATATTATTGAGGAAAGCAAACTACAGAAAACTGTATATAGCATGCTACTATTTGTGTAAGAATGGAGATTAAATAAGAACACACAATCACCTCCTCCACCCCCATCCCCCCCACACACACATTATTGCTTATTTTTACAAAGAGAAACACTAGACAGAAAAACCACAAGCTAATAAAAATGAATACCTAGGGCCAGCTGAGTGGCTCTGCTGGTTAAGAGCTCGCTTGGGACACCAGCTCTGAGCAGCAGGGCTCCAGTTTGGATCCCACATTGAGAGCCAGTGACGCTTGCCCTCTACAGCTAAGATGGTGAACAACAGCTCAACCTGGAGCTGGGCTGCTGTGAGTCACTGACGACAGGGTAGGCTACAGTGGGCTGCCGTGAGCTACGTGAGTGGCTGGCAGCCAGCATGAGTGGCCGGCAGCCCGGTGTGAGCTGCTGGAAGCCGCTGTGAGCGGCTGACCAATGACCAGCAATTGATTGCCTTACCCAGGAAGAGCACAATGATCATACCAACATGGGCCAGTGAAGCGACATCCTCCACTAGAATGAAGAACAAAAACAGCAATTTTGTCTACCTGTCTGTTCCCTTTCACCGATTTCCCAATGCTGTTCCCCTCCCCCCAATTCCCCAATAAAATCTTTAAAAAAAAAAAAAAGAATACCTATGGAGGCAGGAGTGAACAGCATGGCAGAGACTGGGATGGAAGCAAAATTTCGTTGCTTATACTTTTTAATAAATTTTGACTTTTGAACAAATATAAGTTATTCACATATTCAAGAATAAAAGTAGATTCTGACATTGAAAACAGTAACAAATCAACTTATATCAAATGGGTAACTTAACCACACAGAGACAATTTTTTCAAGAAACTTTTGAACATATTATTATGACTATACATCCTTAATGGGATGTGTTGAAGGACAAAAAAACTTGCAAAAAATTATGAACATCACCCATTAATAGTCTTGTTAATAATATTGGTGTTGGGCTGGCCGAGTGGCTCAGTTGGTTAAGAGCTCACTCAAGAGTCTGAGCTCTGAGCAACAGCGGTTCGAGTCCAGCCCGAGCTGAGCAGCCGCTGAGCTGCCAACAGGTAGCAGGATGGCTCAGCTAAAAAAAATAAAAAATAAATAAATAAATAAATAAATAATATTGGTGTTATTTTGAGTTTGTTTTGTGTATATTGTAGGATAAAGCAAAAAGAAATTGCTAAAATTATTAGGAATCAAAATTTCTAGCTTAAGAGGTGATCATAAAAGCAAAGACTTTATGTAAAACTCCCTATAATGATAAATATGAATTGAGACTATCACTATGTTTTAAAATTTTATATATTTCCTAACTCAGTCCACTGCAAGGGCAGTGGTCAAACAGAATGACTGTAGTTGACTATAAAACACTTGAATTTTAAAAATCTGAGTCCACAA